CGACAGGGTAAAGCAAAGAAAGTTCCGCTGTATCCTCCTGTTTTCGTGGGACAGGAGGGGGCAAGACACGGTACCGCGCTTGCTTGGCTTCCAGATCGGGCAGCGAAGAACCGCCTCTACGTGGGCTTCCTTTTACCTTTGCGGATGTTATCTATCCATCATGCCTTCCGCTAGTTTCACAAGGTACTTTGGTTCGTGCACCAACACACACACATAGGGCTGCACGTTGAAGCCCGTCGGGGCGCGCAATGTGAGCTTCAGGATCTCCTTGAGCGTCTCATCGGAGACAGGCGTGGACAGGAAGGCTTTGCACGCGTAGCGCTCTTCGATGGCAGCGGCCAAATTCTTCTGAGCGCTGCTAATGCAGCGAGCCTGTGTCGCCGTGCGCAACAGTCTAAAGGAACTAAGCAGAGTCATCTGTGAGTTTGGAAATAAATCATTTCCAAATGAAATGCTTCATCGAAATTTGAGCTACATGTAGTATTATTTTCTAAATCGCTAGCTTTTTTTAGGTTTTGGATCCGAGGAAAATAGTGTGCTATTAAGTATTTCTTCAGTTACTGTACTAAATCGCTCCGGGATTGATATTATAAATTAAACAGCTGTATTATCAACAATCACTACAGTGCCTACGGTAATTAGTCTGTGTGAATAAATAGTCACAGTTCGAAATTAGTCACACCGTTCGAATGTGAGACTAATTACCGTGAGCAAGAAAATGTCGTGTTCAAAATTAGTCTGAGTTCATAATTAGTATCACCTTATTTTGGGCATTCGAATTGGCGCAGTGGAAAAGACTGGCCCGGTTTACACTCCTGGCGTGGTCCCTCCGCAGCAACGGACGGTGCTCGCGTTTTACTGGTGATGCAATAACAGGTCATTTAATAAAAGTGGGTTTCCCACTTACCCTCAACGCGGCACACTACGAAGCAGCGGGTTATGTTTCTTAAGGATATGAATTATACTTTTAATAGAATAATAGCTATGCAGTTTCCTTAAGCTTATTTGAAGAGTATTTGATATTTTATAATTGGAAATGTTATTTTTATGTGACTGCGTCTCTTGGAGGCTAATGTGGTCTATTCTCATTCCAGAAATTCTTCCAACACATTTTGGAGGCTAATGTGGTCTATTCTCATTCCAGAAATTCTTCCAACACACCAACGCCTCTTCTCGCTCTAAGAACTGTCTTTTAATGAGCTCCAACTCAGCTCAACTTTCCCCGTGTGGTGGCTGTGGTGACCTCTTTGGTCCTATTCACGTCTGCCCAATCTGCTCTGTTCATATGCACCCATTTTGTGGGGAAGCCTGTCGGACAAGAGGGCTTTGGACAGCATGTTCTCTGTCCAGACTGTGATTCAGGCAAACCTCAAGCTATATCAGCTCCTCCTATCATAAAAGCTTTTCGCGCTACAGGGAGCAAAAGATTCGATCTCTTCGAAGGATGATGCCAACGATGACGACTCAGAAGAGAGCTTTTGAAGACGACATAATCTCTATTTCGAATGTGGTCGTGACTGAGTTGCCAACGTCAACATCATCTCGAGCGTCACAACAGGTTACCACCATCCAGCATCGCCGTCGTGTCATCTCCTGGATGGAAGAATATGAAAAGCAAAGGGAGCGAAGAACATGTTCGCGAGAGCTGTAGATCAATTTCCTGATATTTTTAACTCGTCTACTCGCAATGCTAACCTTAGCAAAGCGATGGCCTGGTGGAAGAATCGAGAGCAACTTCAAGCGCCACTCCGGGGTTCTGTGTCACTGTCGAGTTTACGATCAGATAGAAGAAAGCGAGTGAACTCTAAGGCTTTGTCCGGCCGAGGTCGTCCTCGGAGCAAGTGGGTGCTCTGGATATATCCTTTGTTGCTAAGCGAGTTTGATCGATTACGTAAATTGGGGTTGAAGCTCGACGCATCCTTGCTACGTCAAGTAGCTAAGCGTATCCTCCAGGATCCTCAAGCTCCAAAGGCTGATGAGAACAGGGCTGAGCTGTTAACAAAGATCACTTCACGCTGGGTGCAAACTGTGGTGTAGTGACTTCTCCGTGGTTGCGGATTATCACCCGTCGACAAAGACGTGACACCGCCCAAGTTGTTCAAGCGACGAACCCTCGGTCAGGTGATGTACGGAGACGCCAAGGTGCAAAGGACTCGACGGCGTCACCTCCGAACGTTCAACGAGTATTGGATACGGGCATATGTCACTGAATCCAGGCTGTCCTTATTATTATTAATGGACTGGCCGGATTCGCATTCAGCGGACCATCTACGGTACGAACCCTCAGTGGCGGTTGGGATGAGTTCGCAGAAGACTCAGCGACCCTTGGAAGGCACTTTCACCGTCTGGGACAGGGCGCGGACCGTTAAAGATGCTCATGCGACGGTGCAGACGACGCTTGGCATGCAAGAAGATTCATAACGGATCATTGTTCACTTGATATTTGTATACTTGATTAGGACTTCTTATTAGGAATAGACCCGAAAGGGTAAGCTTAAATACAGAACAGAA